ATCTAGTGCGAAGGGCTTAAAGTGCACGGGGTGTTGTTTTGGGTATTGTTTCTTTCTTGTTCCCTTTCGTCTGTCTCTCAACGACATGAAGATACTTTACAGCTTTGTACGTAATACCTTATGTTCTTCGTCATGAACCATCGAATTCTGCAGCATCCTGTTTCGAGCCTTTTCCAGATTGTGTTCCCTGTAGAGACAGATGAGTGTAACAACTCCTTATCATATCGTCGTAGATCTGCTGCCACTATACTGTTCAACTGTTCAGCTGTAAAGTCAAGTTTGAATTTATTGCAAGCAAGCGTATTTAAAGATACTTTTTGAAGCATGTCTTCCCTTTTTAAAATATAAACAATCACCTGCTTTCATCTTTTCGCGGAAATCAGCACATGAGAGAATTACATCTGTGCAAAATCAGCATTAGTTGTGTCCTTTGGTAGTTTGAAATAACTGCATGTAGAGGACTCTCCGTGTCGAAGCTACGAATTTGTGGATGAGGAAAGTCTAGCAGGAAACTGACTACTGAATACATAGTAGAGTATTCAAGAAGATTAATAGGGCCTGGTGGCGCACTTGGCAACCAATAAGCCTTCACATTTCACATTCTGCTAATGTAGAGGAAACAGAAAGCTTCATACCGTTGAAGCTAAAAGAAATGCAGACATTTGCAACATCGCGCACATGAAACGATGCACGTATACCGATGGAAATAGCAAATATCACGAAGTCGACCGGTAAAACAAATACCATTTTTTACGGATGTATCTTGCAATCTTTCTTAAGGAGTTTGCGTCGTCTTGGCCACACCTGTTCCATTCTGAGAAAGCGCTTCTCAATATGTTCATGTGTGTGAAAGATTATTGAGATGATGCGGGAATTTTAAATATTCTTCAGTTGATTCGAAGATTGTTAACTGCTCATGGCTGAACTTGCGTTATGATCTACTTCCAGATAGAGAGCATTTTGAGGACATTTATTCCCCCAAAGAAATAAATCGGAAAAAAAATATTGCCGTACAGGCTTTACTTGTGATGAATAACTGTAATATCAACATGATAAATTGAATTATAATATGAACCTTACAATCGACATCTAATTAAATTTAGCAAGGATATATTGACTGGCAAGACTGTATTCGTAACACCCAAATAGGTTCCTTGGTATAGTAAATGTTCCTCTCTACCGGGCAATCAATGTCGAGCAGACAACGCAGCCCCAACGATATGCTTCAGATGGGAAGGGCTTCTGATAATAAAATGCTATTCTCCCTATTTACTGTCTTTATGCGTTGGCTATCATATAAGCACATTGTCGAAAAGAAACTTCCATGAGAAGAAGATTCTTCTCCTACTTCTGGACCCGATATCGACTCATTATAGGCCGTTTGAATAATCTCCCTTGATCAGGATCTCGATATTTTCTCGGTTGACAGTTAAAGTATCTCGGCTATCGCTTGTATTGGGCCGTTGGGAAGCTTGAGAATATTTCACAGCATGAATAAGGACTTACATCTCGTATCTCTCGTTTAGTCAGGAAAGTTAGAATTCTAACGGTCTGTTCTGTTGACATTATTTTAATTTATATATGTACTGTTATCAAGCTCTGGCAATGACCTTTTATTTCAATCATATATTCTGGCGGGCTGTGGCGCAGCGCTTCAGTAAATATGATCAGCATATTTATATTAAAACTCATTCCCTCTATGAGTGCTTTGGAATTCTCACATTCTCAGAGTTGGAAATGTTTATTTTATATTCCTCCGTATTTATATGGACTTGGATATCAAATGTAGATAACATAATGTTCAGAGGAAGGAAACAAAAGCAATCCGTCAATCCCGGTGAAGTAAGGGTTTCGAAGGATCAATAGGCAGTATTTCTTGCAGTCTCTCTGGATATCTCATCCATCAAGGTCCAATACAGTCATAAAGTAATGCTTGCATCACATTCTAATTCAATGTTTCCAACAAAACCTTTCCAATGTGGAAAAAGAAAAATGGTACCACAGACTCAAACAAAAAAAATTAATTTCAGGAATCTAGTTAGGTGTACAGTAACATGAGATAAATTAGTTGACATAATTACTCGATTAATCTTAAATAAAGAAAATTGAACATAATTACTTTCTCTAGAATCTATATAAGGAATGCATCTGAAATTATTAGAGGAGAATCAGTTTTTGTCATCAACAAAGTAAATACAAATCTCATATCTCATATTTAGTGGTCATAAAGACAATTATCGAAGCTGACAATCACCAATAGAAATAAAACATCTGACTGCAAAAATTAGTAATGAAGCGAATGAATTGATATAATATATATTATTTCTTTCAGCTTACGTTGTATTAATATATTCAATAGAGCTACAATTATTATTGAAAAATTGATAAATTATAAAATTTGATGATGATTTTGTATCATATAGGTATATATATATATAGAAAGCTCAACCTAGCTGAGGAGTTTATCAAAATGATTCTTGAGATGTTTTATTGAAAAGAGCGTAAAAGTATAAATTTTTCATTAATTGACTATTTCGAAAAATTATTCCAACAAATATTTCACTTTTATCTTGTAAAAAGGTAGAAAGAAAATAATATTTACTTTTTTCCCGTAGTTATTCTCTATAATAAAAATCATTTTTTTTATCCTAAATTGAAAGAGAAAAAAATATCAAGCCTCTTATCTTGTTACTCAAGTTCAGTTCAAGCAAGGTTTTCTTAGGTAAATGCTAGATCTACGTCACTTTAGGAGGATCAGTCACCAAAAATAGTAAAGACCATTGGAATTTGAATCTCACCATGTATAATTTGTTTTATTGAAACTCGGTCTTTTATATGAAAACCTAATTTGAATGCAAATGAAAGTGTGTCTGGTGCTTTTGTTGTGTTGGTTGACTAGAAATATGAATGTTGATATATATCAAGTGAAATAAATTTATTTTCTATGAAATGAATCTATTCACCTGAAAATACAAAACATCTTTACCAACTGACTAAATAACAGCTTTAGGGCAGCTTCGCATTTTTCAATCCTACTTCATACGAATCCGAATTTCTAAAAATCTTTTCTGGATTTAGTTCCATAATCTACATAATGAGGATCATGATTCCTAAATTGCAAAAAACTGTCAATAAAATTTTCTCCCACGTTCATCATTTGACGATAAGGTGTAATTAAGAATAATATTTTTCTTAAAGTTCTAAAATAGGAGTTCATATTTATGTCTTCTACAACTTTATAAATAGAGTTTATAATCTATCAAATTTCTTAATGTAAAAAAAGTTCATTAGTATAACTGACTCAAAGTTATACTACCAACTTTAAGTAATAAAATCATAGGTATGAAAACGTAAGCGCATCTTATGGTATACGCAACAAATATGTGTTATATGATATAATCATTTTCTTCGTTAATAATTACAAATTTATATCGGCAATGAGTGTTAGTACATGCTTTCCCAAAAGGTTTTTCTATTTTTTCAAACCGTAGATTGAAACTAAATCAATCATCTGAAATAAATTAGTTTTTAATTCTGTTCTTGAAGTAAGACTACTCATAACCACTATCAGCTGGAACTGAGTAGACATTTTTCAAGTTGAACTAAAAATTAAGAAAGACGCTATCTTATATAACTGAATATCGATGTGTCATTATTTCTAAATCAATTAATGTGATTACTTGACTTTACATATCATAAGATTAGAAAATATGTTTCTTCAGGTATTTCTTCAATATTACTATACAACTACTTGGCTTCAAGAGGTCTAATAGTGTGGTTCAATAATCAAAAGGATATCAAAAAGTTTTCAGAAAATGAAAACTTAGACCAAGTGGAAATCATGAATACAAATACAAGAAGCTTAGTTTTTTCAATTTGTATTGTGAAAGAAAAGAGGATCAGAAATGCATTTCAATGTGCACTTATTGCTGAATACTAATTGACGTCTTGAGCACATAGTCAACACGGTATGAATATACGCTTTTCGCTAAACAGTAGCTAACACATGCTTGTGAAGACTGGAAACAAACAGTAGTAAGTCTAGAAACTTCCCTCAACTTTCTTTAGTCAATTTCGTTGCCAAAACAATGCATGGGATTGTGTGCTGCCAACCGCCAAAACAAGAAGATAAGTCTAGATCAAACAAATGTATGCTATGTCTGAAAGCCTTAAATTATACATTGAATCTCAGGGCAAGAAAATTACATCAGCTGTATTATCAGTTCTGGTGCTTTAGAACTTAAAAATCACAGTCACGCTTACACGGATCCTTAGAGCATGGTTTGTATATGCAGAGAAGGTAGATATTCTAGTCATGTGTCTAGCTTAGCACATGCTCGCCAGATTTGCAAAGTCAAGAGCATTTTAAGATAGACTCTGTAAAGAGTGGATGGGAATGTAATCAAGGAATATAATCGGAAGAATTACGAAGATCTCGACTCAAAAGGATCAAGAAAAACAATTCGACAGTGTCGATTCGGGTTTCGTTAGATATGTTTCCTCGATGTTTCAAGTTGAACTCATATGCACACCTTTCAAAGCCTTCGTGTAATACGCAGTTCCAGTTTTCGATGGAAATTGAATTCACCCACAACCAATCATGAATAAATCAGCAGTTGCAAAGCCTTTGGAGAATAGATTTTCAAGTCCGAGAACATTCATATCAATACTTCAACAAACTGGGGAAAATCTATGGTTTCTTCTCTACTTTCATCGTTAGGAATGTCGTTGAGACAGCATGGGATTCTCCTAGCTAAAATCAATCGAGGCTTGGCACATTTACACATGAGTTGTTCATAGTCTTTGCCTAGTTGATATCTAGGATGATTCAGGTAACACGCATTCAAAGAAAAGATCCAACTGGACAGTACCTTTTCATGGAGAAACTGAACTAAATCTAGGCAAACGAAACTGCTTTGAAAAATAATTATGCAGTTTTCGAAAATAGGTTGTCTTTTTCAATTTCTCGTTCTGAAAAGACAGACTTTCACATTTGAAACCAAGAATGAAAGGAGAATCTAGTATTGCAGGAAGTGCAAATGTTCCATATCAAATTTTTACATCATATCTGTGGAAGTGGGGAGGATCTGGTCAACGAATATTTGAGAACATCCAGAATGGCGTGAAGAGATCACAGACGGTATAAGAAGAAATGAAACAGTTAAAACTTCACTTTTGTGTTCGACGCTGAGAACACTGCAGTGGGCTTTGCACATGAGAGCACTTCAACTGATGAGAGTCACATCTGAAAATGCGTACCGAAATCTTTACCACAATCGTGAAAATGTGATAAGCTGTGAGCTCGCGCAACCAGCTCTATGTCCACTGGATGATCGAGCTCTTTATAAGCACCACTGCAACAGAAAGCAAAACCAGGCTAATGTCATTGAATGCATTACGTCTCTTGACGTCCCTATTATACTGGCTTCTGGACAGGCAACAGCATTGTCGACTGAAAGACAGCATGATCAAGATATCACAGAGGGTGAAAATGAAGAGACGTCTTAGCATATTGTATTCTACATTGAAAATAGTGAGGGAAACGCAGTGGACTTACATGCTCAAATATGATTGATTTTTAGTGCACTGCACATTTGGGGACCAAGGGGCGTACCTTGAGATCGACAGGCTTAGATTATTTCACTAATTCGACATAAGATATTGCTTGATCTTCGACAGAGGCGTCCTCATGCATGACATTGGACCAAATGTCTGTCGGCAGTTGCATGTTCAAAACTTCGGAGCGCACGTACAGTGTCTAAAGCATGTCTACCACGTCCATCAGCAGCTTGCTGACAAGTGAATTATGAGATAAGCGAATCCACATCATGACAGATAGGCCGATCAGAACTAGAATTTCAGGTTCAAAAATGTATATTGCCTCATATGGAGGTGAAGAGAATGACTAAACGAGTAAGCTATCTCACGTCCACAGGACGCAAGAAGTTTTTACAAGCAGCAGACAGAGCGTGATAATGTACATAAACTATGAGTCGGTCTAGAATTTTCACACCTCCACTGCACCGTCTGTACAAAGACCAGGGATCCATGTACATGTGCTTGAAACTCCAACTAAAGCCAAGCCTGGATCGTGTATAATTTATGGGGACTCACAACGGTGAATTTTAAAAGGGGACTCAAGGGATCCCAGTATAAGTCACTCGATGTGCAACTGTACAACTTCGAGCCTTTCAATCTCTGATGTCACGAGAGTTTCAGCTCTGATGGGGAGCAGCCGCTGTGGCTCGAACTCTACAATCCCATCTCTACAATCTAAGCTGCGGCCTGGTGCTATGTGGTGTCAATTGAAGACGTATGCAACCGGGGGGTAACGCCCAAAGAGTTTCTTGACCAAGTGCGATCTGGAAACAATTTCATCAGGGAGTGTGTCCTTGGCGTCTTGCTCCATCCGGTTCAGAGCCCAACTCGCAAACTGCACAGTCTCATGGCAAGTTTGCTGCGACTGAGCCTGTACCAGATCTGCCGTGGTACCGTAGTGTTGCGCCCAATCCACAGCGTAAGTGGCCGCGAACTTTCCCCACGTCAAATTTGCCAACCCCAGTCGCAGAACGGACTGTCGACTTTCGATCGCAAGAGCTTTGTTCGAAGCCAGAAAGCCGCTGCTCAGATCGTGGTCGGCCATTCCCTGGATACTTACAGCCGCGAGCAGGGCCAGCAGAAGACCAAATCGAATCTGCCTTGCCGCTCTCATCCTCGCGCTGAGATCCTCGGAATGAGGCTCCGCAGATGTACGGACGATCCGACCTATGATACGCGTAGATACAACGCAGCAAGTCCTATCGAGGAGGACGCCGAATGGAATACCATCTGCTGCAAGATGCGAAAGGTGAACCGGCCTCCCACGAGGAACATATGCGTCGCTGAGATCACAGCTCCTGGCTCGGAGTGCGGAGCGAATCTCAATCCCAAGTGTTGTTGGACGGAGGTGGCAGTTCCGTCCACGATAGCTCACACTTCATCGATCCAAACGATGACCCTCTGATGACACGAGACGATGTAAGCAATGTGCGCTCGTCGGATCGCACAAGTGTCGGACCTCAAGCCCAAACTCTTCGACAAAAGCAGTGCCGATGTTGCGCACGCCAGCGTTGCCATGCTGGAGCCACGATCTGGACGGGGCAGTCAGGCCTACTTCACAGAATTGGAAATTTCCTCGGTTTTCTTATACAAGACGAATTGCCGGGGACATGACAGTGCGAGCTACGCTGGATTGATCGACTGCAAGCGAATTGCGGAGCAAAACGCATGCCAGTTCCGGGTGTTCATGCATGCACGTGAAAGCCGTCTGCGCGCAGCTGGATCAGTGATGCATCGCCGGCCTCCCCTGGCGCCTAAATCTGTGGGTCTACCGAGGACGCTCGCAGGCCGGACCCGCTGAACATATTACCAACGATTTGCACATAGTCCCGGGAAGCGAACAGGCGTCTGCGTCTGCGGGACTCTGGGGAGTCCAACACAAAATGAAAAGACAGGCACGCGTTGATGGCAAAAGTAACTTTGGGGCGCGGATGTGCGGCACTTCGCCAACCTCGTCGAATGAGTAGACTTGAAACTCCGGACCCAATAGTGCTCTCGCTCAGAAGGCATGGGCCCCAATGGGTCAGAAAGAAGCACAATTTCCATAAGAAAGTATTATCCGCGTATCCTAGAAACATTCCCTACAGAAGCGCCTTGGACGTAGGCGTGCCAAAGGCTACGGTCATGATCATTAATCCGAAATTTGAAGTCAATTTCGAGATGGCACCGCCGTGCCCTCATTGTCCTTTGCCTACTCTTGTGGTGGCTTTGTGCTTTGCTGCACTCGCAACTGGCCAAAATCCCAGATCAGAGAACAGTGTGACGTGAACAAGCAACCATGGGATTCGTTAAGCTGCGAGCATTGGACAAGGTTTTCCCTATACGACAAGAGACTTCACTCCTATTGCTTCATTGGCAATCATGATGATCCCTCTGTACGATGCACGTGTTTTATTTCTAAGATCGAGATGTGGCTGCCAGATTTTCCAGGCAGTCGGATCAGTGTTTACTACTAGCAATTTGTAGCCTGAAACCTCCACGCCACTGCCACTGGCTGTTCGATAAAAGATAAAACGATCGGACGATTGCCAACTTGAACTGGAAGTCAATAGTGCACCGCCTATTTTCTTTTCCTCACCATAAAATAACATCTGGATTGGTTGGTGACTATTGGCTCGCTTGCTGGTCATGTCCACCAGCTTTTACACATATCTCGCTAGTTTGACTTCGCTAAATTCAGCCCCCACTCGTGCGGTTAAGAAGAGCACCAATCAACCATTTGAACTAGCCACCGTCAACCTCTTCAGGACAGGTAGTCGCCAGATTGACGAGGTTGTGAGATAGACCAAATAGCGAGACTGGCTATGGGAAAGCTTGTTGGGGTAGAGCCACTCGGCGATTCTACACAATCGTCAGTAAAGCCGCTGACTCTAGTGTGTCATTCAGTATCGATATTCACAATGCTTTTTTTTCTATAGATAAGGTACAGTTCTGGATTCTCTTAAGTACTATGGTGAGGAGTCGATACTGTTGAGTGACAAATCTTCGTTCCACTTGCCTTTCAGAGAAAGGGAGATATGGAAAGTCTTGTTGGAGATTCTCTTCACGAATTGTTTTAATAAAAGTATTGGGACAGAGTTCTGGTCTCTTATTACATCCAATACTTTAGTCAATATTCATGCATAGCATTCATATGCTTTAACCTCTGGCGTCTGGAGATTCATGAAGATTGTTCTTGACCTGCGTTATCGCCCTTATCGACCACATGCACGGAGGAGATATAGTCATTGGCCAAGAAAGTGATCAGTTCTCTTTTCTCTTTCCTCTAGTGTGGGAACTCCTCGACGAATTTAGATCTTTACCTCATGGCCTTTTGATTCCATGCGTCGAACTACTCCTTCGGTTTGTTTACAGATTAAGAAAATATGATAATCCAGGGCGACGAGCTAGCCTGTTCTGCAAAGTGGAGGCGAGAATCGATGGTAAGCCGTGTCATAAGCTGCGCCAATCCCTCTGCACACTGTGCCGTAATAATGGGCAGGATCAGGTTGCGTGAGGGTGATGGAAGTCAAGAGTCAGACTGAGGGCAGAATGCACCGCGAATCCTTCCCAACAAATTCAAATGCATCCCGATGAGTACAGTCTGCAAAGTGCATCGGTCGTGCTCCCAACATCACTGTTTCTGAATTAAGAAAAGACACAAGAATCAAAGAAAGTCAATACTTGTATCTGTTTCAAACGTCCACCTGCTCAATCAAGAATAGTTTATAGGATATGATTGTAATATGATTGTTGAAATCCAAATATCGTAGAGTACGTTCGATTAGTTATTCGTCGCAAACATTGAATTTCATGCATTTTCACATTCACTTCATAAACAATCATTGTCAAGTATAGAAAGTCAGTACATTAAAAATTCATTTTGAAATTTCGTCTCTTAAAGTCAAAATGAATTAAAGGTTATCGATGTATAACATGGAGTGGAATACGGTTTTTATTCATTAAATTCTGCCTTGCTTAGCGTCGACCTGTTGCACTTGTCATACTTCTCATAAACTTCTCAGGATGTTTAGCTCATTTGACATATTAGATACGAAATTCAAGTTCAAGTACAGACCAATCTCACTATATATTAACTTGGGTCGAAATGAGGTGATTTAAGTCAGTTTCTTCAAGAATTTTCTTCAGATCATGGCATAAAACATCAAAACTAATTTTTAAAAACTTAGTTTTTTGGCATGATGGGTGTTAAGTAAAGAATTTAAAGTAGCAATAGATTTCTGAACTTTTACATTAAGCTCAAATAATGAACTTCCAAAATAGCTGAAAATTTGAGAAATAAAGTCAGAAAAAAAAAGTCGATAACCGTCGCGCATATTTTGAATAAAAGTTACAGTAAATGACAATATAAGCACCACCATCTGACTCGGTGCGATGAAGCTTACATATACACGTTTCGGTTAGTGTTACTATGTTCTGATTAAATACAAAGTAGGGTAGGTCATATCAGTTGGAGATGCCCAACTTCTGGCGCCTCCTAGGTGGTCCTCATTTGGCACTACTGTACTATACGATATAAAAGATGGAAACCAAGACATGCATGGCTGAAACACATCCCTACCATGCATGCGACATGCGATCCTCCACATGTGCTAAATGTGTGGGGCATGTTACCCATATGAGCATATCATAGACATGATTGGTAGGAATGTCCTCGCTGCATGTTGGCTGAGCTTTATCCTAACCGTGACTGGGCAATGATCAGAGATAGTGCTGGCGATATAGTCAGCACCAATTCATGGATTCATCAATTGGCAATCGTATGGAGCGATCCCCACCAATGTACGTACGTGTACATGCGAGCAGGAGGAAGCTGAAGAACATGGCGATCATCTCTTTCCTTGTCAACAGTAAATTCTCATTCTTCAGAGCAGGTCATAGTTTAGTTCGGGAACCACAGTGAAGAAGATCTGCCACACGTGTTCAACGACGTAGGGCTGCATAATAAATTGCCAATCTAGGTGGCTCTCGGCCGAAGTGGCTTCCACGTTTGTCTCTTGGATAAATATCCGTCGTCGCTTGTTAGACCAAATAGGCAAAACTTCCACGTGCAAATTGGCGCAGTAAACTTTTTCCTTCATGTGGATTTATCCTGGGGTCGGTAAGAGCGGCGACAATTGCACCGAGTTGAGTGAATTCGAATGAACCTTGAGGTTAAGGAGGAATCCGAACCGAGCATGATGATCACGTGCGTCCTACGATCCTAAAGGACTTGAGCTATGGATTGACGAGCTTTTGAATGCAGCAGTATGGTTTTTCTCGCCAAGCCTGATCCGAGTTGTCAGTCGAGGTCGCTGGTACACTCATGTCATCTGTGGATCGCGAATATTCAATGATTAAAAGTATACGCATGTCTTTCGTGTGTGGTCAAGATTTCGTACAACGTTGATGTCCTTGGGCCAGTGCTTTTCAACCGGCTACTCCACCTTTTCGTTCTATGTACTGCATTGTGAGAAATTTGGGGACGGAGAATCCGGAACCGGGCGACGAGCAGCTCACTTCGGCTTAAGGAACTCTGAAGCCGAACTCTGAGTGCACTCTGAGAACCATTGACCTAAAAAGTAACGGCTACAGAGATGCGCAGCTGCACTTTTCAAGGCGAAAGGCTTCATCAGCCCCACCGTCTTCCAGGTCAGAGTCTGACACTTGCGCTTCCTCAACGCTGTCAGTACTGTCCAGAAGACTGTCACTTCTGAGATGACGTTTTCTACAGTCTTGGCATAATGTTTTCACGAATTAAAGATGCGAGCTTGATGAAGGTTTCAGCTGAACGTAACATGGACTTGTAGATCTTGACCTGTAAGCTCCAGTTCAAATTTACGGCAGACTGGCATCCTATGGACTCTGCTATTACTGCGGAACATGTAAATACAAGACGTGATTGCATGCCAAAGGTGCCAAGACGTTCTCGTGCATGTGGAATGGCACCCGCTAGTTTTTGTCAAAAGGCATTTGACACACATTCGTGAATTGACTCTCTCTTTCGGCCAAAGCATGAGAGTGTATAGTGTAGTATCTCGGTGGCTACTAAAACTCATGATGTACTGTGTCGTTTGCAAACTTTTTTTCATGAGAGTGTTAAATCAAAAAGTTGGACTGCTTTCAATAATTTTCTCATGACGCACACATCGGCAACCTCTAAAGGTGAAAAAAATAAGATACATCGCAAGAAATAAAATATTGGGTATTATCGATTGTAAATTATGGTCAAAATTAAAAAATAGAATATGAACAATACGAGGCACTGATTAAATGACTCGGAAATGAATCAAATATAATGAAGACGGTTTGAATTATGAATGAGTATAATAAAAAATTCCAAATGGAAATAATATCAGTCCATTTTTAACTAACATATGTGATATCTTTCTCACAATCAATGATCTATATGTAAATATAAATAAATACACATATAAATATATATACTTATATAATATTTCATGTTATAAGTTAAAAGTTCTTCATATACAAGTAACTACCTGTCCGATTTTGTACTATAATGGTAGAAAACTTTATTTGCCTCAGGAGTCTTATGGGGGCCAGTAGAGTAGCTAAGGCAATGGAGCCAAAATGGATTAAAAAGTAAAGTTACATATAGTAGACTACTGCTTTTGACTTTCCTTTCAAATAATAATAGAACCTTCCTATATGAGATTCAAATGGTAATATATCATAAATCAACTCAAATTTTCTATTGCTTATGAAGATTCTGGGGCGGAGGTGCTTCGATAAATGTCAACCGCACAATTGCAAATCCTATGGATTCAAGTTGCAACCAGATACATAAAACGAAACATGAGGAGCTTTAGCAAAAGGAGCGCCTTGAAACTGGTGATGTAGGAGTAATTTTTGCGAAAATACATGAATTTTAATCCATCATTATAACATATCAAATTTAGAATCATTGACATAAGGAAATAACAGTTTACATTGAAAGTTTATTATTTGTTTTAATAGAGATTGGTGTATGATTGAAATAGTATTCTTACTGAATTAACTTCGAAATTTTGTTTTGAATTGATATCAATAATAATCTAGATTGACAGTACTGTGGCTTGGTTGAAAAACTATTTTTATCGCACGACTGTTAGAAAAATACTCTTCTTTCTCATTTCAACCTGCATCGGCAAATCAGATTGGATAATGTTTTTCTTGAATATGGATTAGACACCTATGAGGGCAATTCTTGAAAACTTCAATAGGAGCTTTGAATATCGAGAATTGAATCTGAGTATGTAATCAGAAGTAAATTTCATTATGATGACTCTCTAAGAGTTCAGGTATGAAATTTCGTTCAAAAAGTGCAGCCTGTATATGTTTTATTTTATTATTTTATAAATTCGGTTTCTTTACTTTAAAATATAAAGCACTAAACTTTTTGACACAACTTACTATCAACTGAGTAGAGCATAATGCTCTCATTAGCTGCATTAGTATGAAACTAAAAATTAGTGAAAATCAATTGGTTTCATTATCCTATCATTTAGAAATCGAAGAAGATATTTTTTTAATAAGAATTTAATTAATATCATAAAAATATGTATAAAAAAATTCCCCATGAAACATATCTGACTGTTGAATCATAATTGCTAAGTATTTTTGATTTTTTGAATCATTATATGTATAAAAATTACAATATAAAATAAATATTGAGAAAAAAGAAATTAAAAGCTTTATTGCTTCAATTTTCCCAAATTTTGAAAAAAAAGTATTCATAAAAATAAAAATGAAAAAAAAATTTAATTAAATATCCTTTGAATAAATTTGAGAACTATCCTAATTATGCTGACATGATTAAGCTCAGTTCGATGTTTAGGAAAAAATGAGTAATAGATTTTGGTAATTTTGAAAGAATACTAGTTTTCAAAACATCATCATCTGAGAACTAAAATAAAATTCATGAGCTGGAAACATTTATTTATCACAAGAGAAGACATAAGTGATCTGAAAAAAGTAAGATACTGTGAAGATTTTTCTTGCATGTTTTGGGTTAAAGTGATTTGTCATCAAAGTAGAAGAACTTAATATAAAAAAAAGACTATTGACTGATACAGTTCTCATAAATCATTCGAGAAAAGAAAAGGATATACTTTGAATTGATATGATCAAGAAGTTTCACGATGTTTATTTGCATAAAATTTCTTGGAGTGTACTCAATTTCATTAGCTTATTGTCATGAGTCAACAAGAAAGAGATTGAAGATCAATAGCACGAGATAGTGCTGAGTACGGGGAACTGTCAAATTCATGTGCGACGAAGCCAGTTTGGTTCTCAATTTGGTGGAGATGGCGTGTTTCTGGGATCTTGAGTACGAGCTTGATACAAGCGCTGAGAGAAGATCGAACGACGAGTCCTTTCTCCGTTGTCAGGTACAGTACTGGAGGAGGGATCAATCAAGTCAGGAGATGATCGCCGTAGATGCCTGTGGGATTCATGGTAGGAGTCGGTGCAACAGAGGCACAAGTGGAGTCTACGAGACAGAACAAATTGAAACTCTCGTAGGTTATAATCATGACAAGTTCATTTCCACCCTCGATTGCCATGAGATGCGACCGGTTAGACAATACGGGGCACTTGCTAATGAACCTGTAACCAGTAGTCCTACAGCTAGGCTGAAATTCAATAATTCCGAGCCTCTAGGTTAGACATTGTGATGGTTCTAACCTAGCAAAGAATGTAGGAAGCGTGGAGTGCCCTAGAGCAGGGTAGACTGTGCCATAGCCAATCTTATAAATATGTGTGTCAGCTCCTCGTTCTATATATGGAACTCGAGAAAGTGCTCACATGTCAGATAGGGAAACCTAGCGGAATCAAATAAGCTTTTAAGTTGTTGGTCTTAAAGTTTTGAAATCGTGGCTGCTATCAGCCTATCAACCGGGCCGTAGATCTGTATCTGTCCACGCGTCTCTGACTCGACCTTGTTCCCATACTGACTGCTTTGGAGCGGTGCGAATTGCGTCGAGCGAATCACTGGATCAGAGATTGAGCGAAACCATTCAAAAGAGTGAAATGATATGCTCAGCGTTGAGGCAACACAGAAGATAACGAACAAGCCAAGCAGGGACGGAGCCTGAACCCTAAAATTCGATTGAAATCTCGAAGGTCAAATGTCGAACTGGAAGATCGCTTCTCGCCGAACGCGATCGAACTATCGATGGATCGAACTAATTAAAAGCATACGCTCGCAGGGATTTTACGGGTTGCTCTTTCTAGGTCATCATGGCTTGTTGTTGTTCTCGTAGTCGTTTCGCTATTACGTGAACGTATGATGTATACCGATGCTTTAGAACTCGTTTGATAAGTATATAAAAACAGTTTGAACTAGATGAAATGGTGGAGGATGGTGCGAACCATTTTCAGCTTTCGCAGCCTTGAGCTGCATCCTAGAATAGAGTTTCAAAGGACAATCTTGCGCATGCGTATGATGAGGAAAGAAAATTTGTACCAGCGGAGATCAGACAGCTTGCGAACTGGGGACATGATCATGCAGTAAGATGACTTGTTAATCGTTTACAGAGAGCAGGCTATGTCACTGTGCCATTGCTTCTGATAATCTTGGTCCCACATCATGCGAAGTGCATCTGTGTACGAACAAATTGTACAGCCTAGGATGCGATTATATTACTCTGCTTCGAATCTGTAGGAGAGTATAGATTGTCTTTCCCACGACTTGAGGGTTGTTGCATAAAAAGCAGCAGCTGACTTTGCTTGTGTTCGAAAAAATTGTGATGGAATACGTTCAAAAGGTCAATAAATTATTAACAGTTCGTGCCAAAAGATTCCAAGTCTCTTATTCCTCTGAGTCCCTTCATTAAATGAGACGTGGGCCACATTTATAACACATGTCGAGCTCTTTTCTTGCTCTTTGCAACAAACTCACATATTTGAATCTTTTCTCAAAGAAGCTCTAGCACTGTACAAAAAGCCTAGCGAAAAACTCGGGGTCACGAGCCAAAATATCGACCGTGAGATTTACACCGTTTCCTCTGCCACCACCACCACGAGGGGAGCCTACGGATTTCTATTCTTGAGACTTGCTCATGCAGCGGGAATGACGATGTGCACAACCCTTGGGCTGCAAAACGATGAACCACTTAGAGATTCGTTACGGTGCTGATTGCTGAATACATTGTTTGCGGATGTTGACAAGGCTGTTATATCACGAATTCCTCGAGGCATGCGTTTCGCGCAAGCACAAGCAGTATAGTCAGTGGGCTTTCCAACGATGATACTGTACGAGGGTTCTGGCCTGGAATTAAAGGGTAGCTAAGAGCTCGAGCTTTGGAAATAATTGTTGTATCAGGTGGCTTGATCCTCATCACCTCAGGAGTTTCATCATATGTTTGAGTTAGTGTATCTGACATGCTTAAGAGACCTGGAGACACGGTCGGATGTCCTCTTCATGCATTCAGCTTACTGCGGTTTCACAAGGACGAAGGGCGGCGTCTGACCACGCTCCGCTTATATATTTCCACAGCTCTGCAGTCATAGCATGACGATCACTTCGCGGGAGTGACACTGAAGGCGTCAATGCTAATCGTAATCTGCTAAGATGAGCAATAATTTGTATTCCTCAGTGCAGTCAGAGGTGTATAATTTGCAGCATGAGGACTCAAGTAATCACCTAGTGGGTATATCATAGGCTCCAACAATGTGCGGGAAATTTCTTCTTTGCCACTGTTATGGCATCAGGTATGCCACTGCAGTCGTGTATCAGTTGTATCAGACAATGCCATGTATTTACTAGAAAAGCTCGACTCAAGACAATACAAGAGTCTGATCATGAGACAAAACTATTTGTTCTATGACTTATCTGCTTGATTGATGGTATGTTCTGGAACCGGACAGATCAGTGGCCTGCAGTCTTCAGACTCTGACAGGCAAGGCGCTATGAATGCAGGTTGATAAATGTGGCATCTCAGCGTTGGTGATCAAGCTATAGGTAGTCTGAAGAGTCAGAAAAAGGGCCTCTAGAAAAATCGATATTCAGCAAGCTCATGATGAATATTCTTTGTCTTACTAATTTCAGTACTGTCATCTAGTCATGTAGATCGAAGTTGGCAATCTGAACACAATTTGGCATTGGTTATAAATACTTGATGAATAGAGGTTTAGTACAGAGATGTTCAACAACACATTTCTGCTTTCTGCTACTTGAGCTGATGATTTGTTATAGGAAATAGGAAATATTAATGCAAGTGATTGTTCAGGTCATGTGTAGGTCTTTACTATTACAAGTCTGAGTCGAGTAATTTCGTACCGGAAGTATCTAGAAATTTATTTCTAGATACTTCACGAAATAAAGTTGCACTAATAGAAAGATCATACATTTTGTACATAACACTTCATTTGAGTATCTTTTCGGAGGATTGAGGAGACATAAGAATTTCTTCCCGCTTCGGTCATGTTATCACCTTCAAGTACCTCTTTCTTGGCAATATCCAGAGTACGATAGATTTTTGTTTATTCTCTTTGAAAGGAATGGCATAATTATGGCATACTAGTATATTAACACGTGAGATGAAATTACAATGGTTGCTTGATAGTGCCATCTGACATAATTGGTAGAACAATATCTATCTGTCCTAAAAGCCGGGAGTTGAAGAAAGTCCAGATTCATTTGGTAGCACAAGAATTCTTTTTTCTTGACATCATTCGTTTTTTAGATTTCCATGTCAGCGACATATATGATGGTCATAAACATGCTTTAAGAGATTCACACACTCAAATGTTTTAGGAGATATTAAGTGCTTTTCTTATCTTTCTCAACCCAACATACCTAAACATCGACATACACTTTTCACAATGTCAAGAGTTATTGGGTGATTCTCGTACATGAGTGAACAAATGTTAACAGCAAGCGATGAAATAAGTATACACTGGTGTAATTAGTTTATTGCCAAAAGAGTGAGGTACTAAGTGAATAAGCTTGGAAGTTGATCAAAGTTAAGTTATCTTTGAGTTTGTCTGCACTTCATAGGCGAAATAGAATACATCGTTGCATTTTCAAAGTTTTACAAATTAGGGTTTGTACTGAACGAGATTCTCTAGTTTGTGAGTTCGGTTGCATTAGTAGGTACTTCAAATTCATCTTAAAGATGCAATTCAAAGTCCTGCGTCTAGTGGCCATATGACAATACGGGGTATCTCCACATGACCCCTAGTTGAATCAGTCATTAAATCCTGTAACGTTGCTCTTCATGAGCTCAAGAGTATATATCTTACTCTAACTACTAAAATCTTTCCGCTTCAGTCTTATATAAGAGTACGAGTGTTTGGTCTTTCAGCGATATTCCAAAAGTCTTGATGGTCAAAATGAAAACGTAGGTGTGTTTGTGGTGGTGTCAAACGCATAGGTTGCTGAATGGACCAGAAAGTCGATCGATTTCATCTTCTTCAGCAGTGTTTCGTGTAGGTTCGGTAGTCATGTTGGTCACGCCTAGCAATCGTAATCAGAAGAAACCGACATATCTCTTTAGAGACATTTGCACTCCCCAAGAGCATTGAATGTGTTTGCTCACCTTAGAGAAATCAGCATGTCCTAAATAATCATTACTGAGGTCTTGCTACACTCGGAAACTCTACTGTTTATTTGCAAATTAGTTTCTGCAAGTGCATTGCAGTCTCTAAACGGAGCCATTTAATCCAGAACCATGTTTCCAAAGATCAACACGAGAAGCCGTATGCATCAAGAGAATGTATGAGATTGGGCACGTACAAACATGAAGACATACCATGATGAACTGTAATCGGGAATTCAGATTTCTATTCCAGTTGAGATTCGACATGGCGGCTGCACCCGAGCTTCGCTTACGGAAGGGCGGAGTTGCTAAAAATCGGCGATAGCTACAAAATGAAATGCGCCATGCCGAATCTCGAGATGATGACTAGATCTAATGTGACTAATAAAAGGTGATATTGATAGAAAATAGGTGTATCACAATCTTCGTTATTTATCTTTTTTTCGTAAGTGTTTTTTTTATTGACCGGAGTTCTAGTCGAGTCTAAAGATTGTCAGTTTTTAGTTTTATTTTTAATAAGACTTACTAAATATTTGTCGGTTTCAAACAGTTGTATATATACATATTCTCTTTGAGTGAAAAAAATCTCAAAGTATAAGGTACAGATTGTTCTAGACTTTTAAAATAAACTTTTATTAAACTTTTAATTTTAGCAACGAAGATACAAGTTTGCGGGTAATAAAACACACAAAGCATTAGAAACTAAATCTCTAGCAAATTCCTTTCATCTATTTATAGCCGGCTGCGCATAGCTACAGAATAACAGTTTACGTGAGTTTCACGTTACTCTCTACTATATTTCGGGCTTTCTTTTTAATTGTTAAAGATTGAGAATCTGAAATTAGTTACATTCACTGATTTTTTTAGTGTATTCTTACAAAAAATTCACAAAGTATTGCACTTTATTCCTGAACTATGTTCAAGAAGAACTTTCATGATATAAAATCTTTCGATAAATTCGAACTTTTTTTAATTCATTCAGCATATCACAGAGTGATGTATGCATTTCAACGTTGAAAATATGATACAATTATATTTTTTTGATTGGTGAAAAGTTTCACACAATCATGTATAGATATCATTATTTATCTCAAAAAATGAAAGGTGAAAGGAGACAATGTTTTCCAACAGAGCGATTTTTTTCTATTTTGAATATAATTTCATTTTTACAATAAAAATTACTGAATCAAAATTAAAACCTCAAAAAGCGGTTATTCGATTTACTAAGATTTATAGAATTTAGGTTTTTAAAGAAGTTCATTAAAAAAATAACATCGTTAAATAATGAGTATGAAAAGCAATTTCAATTTTGATATTTTGATCATAAACTATAATCAATCTTCTTCAATTTCATTAATTAATATAATTTCAAACTCTGCATTGTTAATTGAGTTAAAATTTTCCTGAAATCTAATATATGCATATTCGTAAGTTTATAAATAAATAAAAATCTAAATAAAGTTGAAAAAAAAATGTATTGATAAAGAAAAATCTTTAATTCTAATTTTGTTGAGAGATTGAATTAATTTCAATAAAGTTTAAGTTTTGAAGAATTTGGTTTTATGAATTTAATCTTATTATTATGAATTAATATAAATAAATTCATTACATTTATATTATAATTTAAAAAAAATCTATCGCAAAAATTCATATCAACCTAGTGTAAACAAAATCAAAAGTGAAATCAATAAAAGAAATGTCTACATGCAAATGATCATAATAGTTAGATTTGAAGATAATGATAGATTAAAGATTTATTTAACGTTAATTGAAAATTTTAAATTACAAGTAAACAGTATTATAATTTTTTGTTTATATTTTTTATTTATTGATTAGTCTATGATTTAAATATAATAGTTATTAAATTTGTGACTTTAAAATTTTCATTAAAGTTTGTTAACGATGCTTTTATGAACTCAATGTTGACATATCTTAAATCATGCGCTATAACTATTTTGAACATTTGTGTCAGATCATATATGTGGTAACGTAGTTTTCATTTTTTTTCAAAAAGAGTAAGTTTGAGAAGTAGCAAACTAAGAACTTCAAATTTTTAGTATAAGAACAATTTGAAGTAGACCAAATAGTGGATTTTGTGGTAGAGGTAAAGTTAAAAGTAGTGAAATCCATTTATCTTACTCTCTTTGAAGTTAGTGTTTTTTACTTGTAGGTAGAAAAGTTGAATTAAATGAGTTATGATTTGATAAAGTAAATACCTCATAAATTTTTCAATTAGTGGCGACTTGACTTAA